ATTAATACATTTGTTTTGGCTATAAGAATTTGAATTTAAAATGTACATGCTTTCTAAGTGAAGTATTTTTTTATTTTGAAGATTTAAAATATTTTTTAGTCAATTGAAAAACTAGATTTCTTTTATCCAAATTATACTTAGAATGAGAAAACATTTTTTTAAAGTTTATTATTTTTCATGTGCAGTGTGTACTGCCTGAATGTAGATAAGTGCACTCATGTCAAGAGCAGTCAATGCTCTTAACCAATGAGCCCTAATTTAAAAATTATACAGTGAAAGTGAAAACACTTGAATTTTTTAAACATAAATATTAGATTTCAGTAAGGTAGGGGTTTGAAGTAAGCAAATAATCATACTAGAAACATGGTTAATGCATCTTCATTTGCAATTTCACTAAAACCAAGATAAACATCGTTTTCTCACTTAAGAATATACCAAATGAAATACTAAATATCACAAATAATTTTTTTTTAATTCTAATTATTGGAGAGATGGCTCAGTGGCTAAAAGTTCCTGCTGTTCTTACAGAGGACCCAAGTTTGGTTCCCAGCACCCACATAGGAAAGCTCACAACTGCCTGTAACTCGAGCTCCAGGGAATCTACACTCTCTTCTGGGTCCATCGGCTCTGAATACACATGACACACATACACACTAAGTAAATCTTTTTAAAAAATCCAATTATGAAAGGATTTAAGAAACATAAAATGTGAGAGAAATGTTTAGTTACTTGGGGTTGCTGAAAATCAGTGTCAGGCAGTGTTTTTGAAGTCGACATAGATGTGTGTTAAATGGAGTTGGCACGTTTGATGTAAGAAATGTGAATCTAAAAGTTCACCTCGAGTTTCGTAGGACAGAAGTGCATTAGAAGCACATGGATAGAGTCTCTCCTCCAGTTAGAATGGTCTTTGGTGTGATGTCTTTTTAATTGATGAATCATCTGGTTTTCTCCATCCTTTGAGGAAGACTGTGACTAATTCTGAATTTTGAGTTATAACATTTTTAAGTCCTTCATAATAGTACATGTTCCTCTTTCATCGGGTTGGCTTATGTAGTTTTCACTTAAAATTTTTAAAAAATATTTTATTATTTTTATTTTACGTGTCTGAGTGTATTGTTTGCGTGTATTTATATGCACCCATCATGCAATGCCTGCTGAGACCAGAAGGTGTCGGACCCTCTGGAACTGGAGTTACAGGCTATTGTTAGCCACCATGTGGGTGCTGGGAACCAAATCCAGGTCCTTTGCAAGAGCAGTCAGTGCTCTTAACCACTGAACCATTTCTCTAGTCCCAAGAGGGAGATTTTAATCTATACTCTGCACTGTTTATGAAAATTATCTAAATGTGGATCATGAGTTTATGTAAAATCTAAAATTATAAATCTTCTAGAAAAATACTGAGAGAAATTTTTCTTGATTGTGACCTGAGTGCTGAGTGCTGGAAATACAGGTTGCACTACCATACCTGGCTCGATTAGGAAAGAATTAGCACCAAAAAGCCTAATCTAAGAAAAAATATATTGCCAACCTGGACATCAGCAAAATCAAGCATTCCTGCTTCTTTTGCTGAAAGAATGAAAAACATTTACAAATTCCGAATCTACCAAAGGACTTGTCCCAGGAATGTATAAAGAGTGCTTTTTAAAATTTCATAACAAAATAACCAGCCAGGACTACAGTGAGGACTCAGCAGGGCACCCTGGCTGCTCTTGTAGAGGACCTAGATTTGGTTCCCAGCACTCACATGGCCACTCACAAGCACCTGCAACTCTAGTTCCAGGGGATCCAATACCATCTCTGGCCTCTGCAGGAACTAGGCATGCAGGTAGTACACACACACACACACACACACACACACACACACACACACACACACACGTGCAAGCAAAACAGTCATACACATAAAATAAAAGTAAATAATTCTTTCTTAAAAAAGAAGATAATAAACAAGCCAGCCAGGTGTGGTGGTTCAAGTCTGAACTAGGGAAGTGGAGGGAGGAGGATCAGGAGCTGAAGGCTTGCTTGAGCTACATAGTGAGTTTGAGACAAGCCTGGACTACACGAGACCCAATCTCAAAACAAAAACAAAAGAAGTGACTATTTAAAAAGAAATGAACAGAAATGTTTAAGAAACACTTCACCAAAGAATATATACAAACGGGGCTGGAGAGATGGCTCAGTGGTTAAGAGCACTTGCTACTCTTGCAGAAGGCCCTGGTTTGGTTCCCAGCACCCATGGCAGCTAACAGTCGTCATTCATAATTCCAGTTCCAGGGGATCTAACACCCTCTTCTGACCTTTGAGGGTAATGTATACAATGGCATGCTTCCCTTATGCAAACACTCATACATATAAAATAAAAAAAATAATTTTTTTAAACTAAGAACATATGCAAATGACAAAAACAAATGTTGAAAGATGTTCAGTGATTCCAGGTGTTGAAGAGATAACTACTCTTCCATTACTAAAAGTATAAATTTAGCCAGGCATGGTACTGCATGCTTTTAATCCCAGTACTCAGGAGGCAGAGGAAGGTGGTCTCTGTGAGACCAACCAGTGCTGTATAGTGCACACACAGGTGCACTTGCATACAGATGAGATATTCATACACATAAATTAAAACAAAAGTTATCTATCTACCTTACCTATAATCACTGATATATGTTTTTGTGCCCATTGTGTGCTGACCTGTATAAGATTTTGAGCAAATAAAAAGTATACTCATAAAATTATTAGAAATAGTGGAAGGAAGGGCTGGTAAGAATCTTGAAGAGTCAAACAGGTTGGTAGGATTCTGCTTTCCATTGAGACCCTGTCTCAGAAAAAACAATAATTAATTAATTTTAAAAGAGTATAAACTTAAAGACTTTTCAAAGTGCTTCACAGTAGGGATAGCTGGCCTGTGGGGTCTTAGACACTGGTTGGCAGATACAAAATAGCATGATCACTTTAGAAAACAGCTTGGCAGTTTGTTTCTTTTCATATGTTTTTATTTCTTTCTTTTTATTGTATGTGTATGAGTGCACCTGTGTTGTGCAATGCTACGGAGATGAAAAAAAGGCATTCGGTTCCCCTGGAACTGGAATTAAGGATGGTTTGTAACCACCATGTGGGTGCTGGGAGTCGAACCTGGGTCCTCTGTAAGAGCAGTCAGTGCTCTTAACTGCTGAGCCATCTCTCGAGCCCCAGTTTGTTTCTTTTAAAATGGATCAAACACCCATTTATACAGCCAGTTATTCACCACTGGCTGTTTACTCAGGAGATGGAAGTATGTTTACTGAAGAATTTCTAAAGAAATTTCCCCACAAGAGGTGTCCAACAGAAGGAGCCAATGTATGCCTGAAAATTTCCTAGTGCTTACATTTAAAAGGTAACATGAATGCTTGTTGTGGTGGCTCAAGCTGCAATCCTAGCAGCCTGAAGGCTAAGACAGGAGGATCACCATGATTTTCAGCCAGTCTGGGCTACCTAGCGAATTCCAGACTAGCCTAGGCTGCAGAGTGAGACCCCACTCCATCTCAAAAATACACTAATAAGAAACAGATGAAGTAACAAATTTTATTTAACACAATATATCCAAAATACTATTGTAAGAAAACAGTTGTTTGCGAGATCATTTTACAATGCTTTGATAGAAATCCAGTGTGCATTTTACACTTACAGTACATCTCAATTCAGATTAGTTACCCATGAAGTGCTCAACGGCCACCGGTGGCCCTGGGCTATGGTATTAGATGGTCGGCTCTAGTCCCCCCTTGTCATTTCTACTCTCACATCCCCCTCATCATTTTTTCACAGTTGACTAGGAAGTCCTGCAGTGCCTCCCCACCAGTCAGCAGCTCACTCTTGCTGTTTAACTTTGAGCCAAGTGTTGAGGTTGCTGTCCGGCAGTGTAAGCCTGTTGACCTAGCTACTCACCATGCTGAGGCAAGAGCAGCTTGCCTGGACTTAACAGCAAGTTCAAGGCTAGTCAGGGCAGTTTGGTGAGACCTTATGCTAAAAAAACAAAACCAAAAACTGAGGCTGGGGTTGTCGTTAACAGCAGAACCCCGGCCTAGCTTATGAAAAACCCTTAGTTCAATCCCCTGCACTCAGAAGATGAGAGAGCGAGAGAGGAAGGGAAGGGGATGTGGAGAAGCCAGAACAAATCACCTACTTTGTGAAGGTGAGTTAATCAGATTTTCATCATTTTTTTCTTTGCATTTTCTTCCCATTCCTAGAGAGAATCTATACCGGAGTGATCATTTCTCCCTCCTGGCTTTGCTGCTGGTCATTTTCAGACATATTTTCATTTTTGATTAGGACCCTTTAGATGAAGGCTGAGGGTTGTGGTAGCATTTACAGTGAATACTGAATTATAATCTCTTCTTCAATTTGAACCGAGAGCCATCAAAATCACAATGGCCAGTTTTAACACTCAATCCTGTATTTACTTAAACAGTAATTTCTTTGTCCATGGGACAGTGTGACAGATCTAAGACTGTAAAGTTATGGCTCAATTTCATTTATAACTATAGATGAAAACAAAACTTAAGCATTGAGTTTGCAAAAATAAAAATAAATCCAGTATTACATATAACGTATATGAATGGTTTACTTCAGGTTAACAACTGAGAAAACTCAATGTACCTGGCCCAGGAACAGAATAAAAAAGACACATGATTATGTCAATAATTACAGAAAAAAAAATCTATTGAATTCAAATTTTAGTACAAAAACTTATAGCTAATAAATAGAAGAGAATTTCTTACATGTATCAATAAAAATAATTGCCATAAAACATTATGCTTAGCCAGGTGTGGTGGCAGACACCTGTAGATAGACTGGGACTTTGAGGCCAGCTTGGGCTATGTATGGAGACATTATCTCCAAAGAAAAAAAAACAAAACAAAAACCACCACCATCAACCCCAACCAAACCAAGCCAGATGTGGTGGTACAGGCCTGTAAGCCCAGCACTCAGGAGGTATGGGCAGAAGGATCAAGAGTTCAGGGCCATCCTCAATTACACAGACTTCAAGGCCAGCCTGGGCTACAAGAGACCTTGTTTCAAAACAAACAAAAACCAACAAAACAAAAAACTATGCTTAATGGTGAACTTTTAGAATTTTTCTTTTAAGTTGTGTCACGAGTGTTAACCATCACCCGTGGTTGTTTCCTAGTAGGAGAACTCAGAAAATAGAAGTTCCCAAAGGAGAACTGTGGGTAGTGAGGGGAATCACTCAGCTATGGGCAGGAGCAGCAGAACTTTCAAGAGCTTGGGCGCCGCAGAGTCATCGGGACTACACAGTTACAAGGATTAAAATATGGACAAAGTGCACTAGGAAAGTAATACTTAGAGAAGGTATAGATGGGCAAGCCGTGGTTTGTGACATTATAAAAGGAGACAGTGCCAGCCTCATAGTCTAAGAAAACCCCGACACGGCGAGGGGGCACGGTCATGGAGAGAAGCAGGGAGCTGGCGGAGTCCTCGTAGGCTCTGTATTCGTGCTTATGCTGCAACCCGATCACCCAGTATCCGCTCTGCGGCTGATACCTGGAGAAAGCGCTCTGCTTGTTAGCGTACTGGCAGGAGAACATGGGCTCCCCCGGACTACTGCACACCCCCAGGATCCAGGCCGTCTTCTTGGCCACGTCCACCTCCCAGTAGTACTTTCCCGAGGAGAAGTGCTGAGAGCCGAGGACACTACAGTCATAATGTTCTTCCAGACAGGAAGGCTCGGACTTGGCTCCCACAAACCTCACCTGTCTCCGGTTCTTAGACAGGACAAGATTTAAATTAGCCGTGTGTGGATTCAGAGTCACGTCCACTGTGGGAAAAGGGACAGAGCAGCAGGTGAGACTGGGCACACGGCTCCCATGAGAGGTGGGGACACAGGAAGCTGTTGGGGGAAACCAGAACTGGGTGGCGAGGGAAGGGGAGGTATGGACGCCTCAGATCTGAGAAAACACGTGGGTTTGTTTGAGGAGGAGCAGGGAAAGGGATTCACGTGTATCAGGCAGAGAAACCATGGATTCTACTCACCCCAGTAGCTTTGGACATCTGTCAGCTCTGCAAGGAGAAGAAAAGCAGAACACGTTACATAGAACGAGCCGTGTCAGGTCTGACATCTTTCCCCACACAGCTTGAGGAAAAGGGCGGGAGTTCTGTGACGGCATGGACTGGTCACTTCATCTCCCCTTAAACAGGAACATGTCTTCTTCACACACTGCATCACCCCGCCCCCCAACCACTTTGCCCATCACAACTATTAAGCACTACCACACCCCGGTCCTGTTTCTTACGCTGCAGTAATTCCACATCCAAACTCTTTCCCCAAACTCACCTCTAAAGACTCGCAGCATCTTTTTCAAATCTGGAGCTCGAAACATACTTCTCAGCTTGGTGGGGAGAGCTTGGGGCTTCCTCAGGGTCCAGAACTCACTCCTAACAAGGACAGACACCATGAGCCTCACACTTCCGGCACTGCGTTCCCCCAACACCTATCTCCCCATCCTTCAGGCCCATCAATGAACTTCAATATTTTGTCACAAGGAAATGTAACATTCTGCAAAGGGCCCTGACATGGAGCAGAAGATCCGGACTAGAATAGTCTTTAACCACCTGCATAAATCTCTGTAAAACTTAACATCTTACAGTCTCATTTTGTTTCTTCCCTATTATTAGTTTATTGCATACAATAATTTTCCTTTTTCTCTCTGTGTTCTAGGGAATAGTAGGCAACTGAGTAGAATAATGGCTGGAAAGTCCCTACTTCTAAAAAGGAAATAAAACATTTAACCCAGAGCAGCCCAAGAGACTCCCAGACAGTAACACAGCATAGAACTGGGAAAATGAACAGGAGACCCCAATCTTATCTAAAGGAACATTGACAACTGATTGCTGCTAGATGAGGAACAGCTGACCTTCCTAAAACAAGGACCTCTAGGTAGGCTGAGTAGATTCACGGGATGGACAAGTAGTGGTGAACAGCTGGGGGTGCTGACAACACAGCAGACAGTAGCAGGGATGACAGAGTATAAGGGCTCTAGAGTGAGGGAGGCTATGGGAAGGTGCTACCTGGGAAGTGGGTGTATAGATGAATAAGATGGTTTGGGATGTTCTGTGTGATATACACACACACACAAAAAAAAAATCAACAAATTTTACAAAATGAGTTATATTTGAGGAGGAAGTGTAAAAATTTACATCATGGTAATTAGTAGAGGTGGTAAACATTACCACTGAAATCCACCCGATGACTTTATAGCCATACACAGGTGCCAAGGATCCGAGTGCACCGACTATGACTAGTAATAATCAGATACATACAGATTAGAGACGCATGCGCCACCATCTGTGTTATTAGCAAAAACAATGAGTCTTTCTGTAAGAAACAGTATATTTTAAAATGAAATGGAGATCTTTTTTTTTATAAAGGTTAAAAACTCATTTAATTTTATGTCTTACAGGGTTCATACTGAGGTCAATATTGTATAACTGTATTAATTCAAGAGTGAACCTAAAAATTTTATAGCCACTTTGAAAGAGATGTATCTTTGCTCTGGAAATTTTTTGAGTATGTTAAAGCTGTAATAAAATGCTTCTTCTAAAAAATAAAATATATATATATATATATATAATAAAAAATAAGTCAGTGGCACATCAGAATGCCCACTAGGGGGCGCCGGGGATGCCTACAGGGGTCTGGATCTGGAACCTGCTGTTGAAGCTTGAACACAAAAGGGCTTCCTTCAGAAGGGTGTGTGGGCAGAGGCTCCAGGTTTGCCAGAAACCCAGATACTTCCTATGTTGGAAAGGCCTGAAGGTACTGGGTCTGTAGTCCCTTTAGATGCCACCTTGGGGGTGACATTTTAGATTTGGAGCTAGTGAAGAGAATATGCTCTGTCCTGGTGCCAAAGCTACGCCTCTCATGTCTCAGGTCCCTGTTTACTGGAAATCTAAGTGTAAGACCTGAACTATTCTGGAGCCAGTGGAGAAAGGGACTGTTAACGCAGCCTTCTGAAGAGCAAATCCTCAAGCTTTGAGAAATACACAGATGGGAATTTCCCTCTAAGATGCATAGCCCAACAACACCCCCTACTGAGGTAGCTATCAGGAGATCCAGCGTTAAAGGCAGGTCTGTGAAAAGGCAGTCCAGCAATCCTGTCTCCAGTTAGTGTCCTGTCACCGTATAAATTCTATGACCACAGAAGTCAGCCCAGTCCTTTTATTCTTGAGACCCTCAGATTCACATGCAAGGAACAGTTCAAGTCACCAGCATCAAACCTTCCCTGCCTATGACTTTTCCCCTTTCCCACTGATTACAGGGTAATTCTATAGGTTCACAAGAACCTCTGTGACACCTTATGTTCTCACGTACCTTTTTGTGATATCATTCACATCCTAGAGAGAAAAAAAAACAACTTAAGTGGATCATTTCTTCCTCCCATTTTACCATCCCATGATATGAATAGGAAAAAAAAATTTCAAGTGCTACAAAGTGAAGATTTAAAACTCAAGACAAGTCAGATAGGTATGCACAGCACATGTCTGTGACTCTAGCACTGAGGCTGAGTCATGAGGATTTTGAGTTTGAGGCCAGCCTGGGCTATACATAGAGAGCTGGTCTCAGAACAACTGAAGACAAATAAAAAAAAGACAAATGGGCTGGAGAGATGGCTCAGCGGTTAAGAACACTGGTTGTTCTTGCAGAAGACCTGGGTTCAAATCCCAGCACCCACATGGTGGCTAACAACTGTGCATAACTCCAGTTCCAGGGGACCCGACAGCTTCTTCTGTCCTCTGCGGGCATTGCACGACACGGGTGCACTTACCTACACGCAGGCAATACAT